TGCCCGGCATGTAGTAAGTGCTCGAGGATTATGTGTTAAATGAATGAATGAAAATAGTCATTGTTTGGAGTCCAACTCCAATGCCACCCCTTCTCTCCCAAATCAGTTACTGGTCTTTCCTCTGACCCTTTAAAACTGTTTGCATTTCTCTATTTTAACACTTAAGAAATACTCTACGTATTGTACATGCTTGACCTATCTTCCCAGCTAACTCGGGGATGATTGTTATGGCAGGAATGATGTTTTATAACTCTATGCTCTCTGTGCCTAAAACAGGAAGAGTTCAATAAATGGATATTGCTCGAACGCCTGGAAGAATGAATTAAAATGTTTCTCTTGTCACAATGAACAGAGAAGAGTTACGATTTAACATCATACCTCCAATTCTGCCTGGACTTCAGAGCCTTCCAAACGGAAGCAGCTGTGAGTCACAGGGTCTAGAGGGGAGGGGTGTTTGTTTGTGGGGAACTTGTTTCCCAACCTTGATGAATCACATGTGTAATCACCCCAAAAGCATCCTGTCTGGGGAAGTAACCAAAACCCCTATTTCTGGTCCCAATGGCTTTTGGTTTTATGAGTAAATGCCATTGGCATGCCATTAAATAAATGCCCTCAGAAAGCCCTCAGCCAGGGCTATAACCTATGACAGTCAGGTGAGAGAAAAGCAGTCTTGCGAGTAGGGCACAAGACAAAGTAGTTACTTTATTCATCTTGCCTGGAACAGCGCTCTAGCTGCTAACTGGTGACCTTGTCTCCAAGTTCTTTTCAAACATCTATTACACTGTTTCCCAATTCACGGGTTCTGCAGAATAAGTTCTGCAGAAACCTTTGCGAATAGTTCTCATTATCTGTATAATGATGACCAAACTTTTTAACCTAAGTTGAAGGTGCTCTAGAATCTGGCTCCAACCTACTTCACCTAATGCCTTAGCTTCCTCCACCCCCACATAATCACACGCTGCAAATAAGCTGAATGACTTTCTGATCACATACACATCCTACACTTGGCTCTGTGACTTTGTTCCCTGATTTCTCCTAGAATGCCCACCCTCTTCCATTTCCAAATATCTAAAAGCTACACATTATGTCTCACAAAATGCTACTTCCTCCACCATATCACAAGTGATTGCCCAACAAGGAACAATTACTTCTTTGAGCATCTCAGATTTTATCTGTACTCCCATTCCAGTGCTTATTGTAACATGTGTCATAAGCGTGCATGCACATGTTCCTTTCTCTAATAAATCGCTTCCTGGAGAATGTCTAAAACTTAGCGCGATACTCTCCCAACTCCAAGCTGTGCCTCAAAATAAGTGGACACTCAAAATAAAAGTTGGTGGAGTGGAAAGATTGAATTAGCTCAGTTGTTTAGAGCCTTATATCTGGCTTGGAATCTTCAGAAACGGTTTGCAATAGGAGTTTCTCGTCCTCATCTCCCTCGTTTTGTCCCTTACCTCCTTTCCAAAAGACATCAGATTAAGAATATCTTTGGTCTCTGCAAACAACCTGTTCCACACCATGCATCTCAAAGGCAGGGTGCTCATTCCAGGCTTCCTTCCCCCTGATATCCAGCACCATGTGGCCTACCTTGTTAGTAGACAGAATGAGCTTGGGGGATAAATATAATTTTGATCATACACCCACCAAAACAAAAACAGAATTAAGAGGGGATTTGCAGTTTTCAAAAGCAAACTTTTAAAAAGACAGCAGATTGTAAAAACAAAGACTTTTCTGTTACGGGTTGTTTCAGACTATCTACGCTACAGTGCCAATTTCAGGGTGGATACATTCCTTCAACATGGATAAGTGAGAGCTGATGCAATAAAGCTTAGCTTTGTTTGACTGCAAAGCACTTTGCTCTCCTTTCTGTTTATTAGTATTATTCTGGTTATGAGAGTGGGAACGCAGATGCAGAGCAAGGCTAGAGTCACCCAGGCCAAGGTCAGATAAAGAGGGAACAAATGCAAAGGGCTTTGCTTCTTCTACTCGCTTTTGATAATGACCACATTTGTGTGCATGAAGGAGACAGGCAACTATGAATGCAACTTGAGAGCCATCTCCTTCACCGCTTCTCTAAAGGCCACCAGTGGGGCAGTGACCAAATCCCACCTATGCCACTTGGTAGCTGAAAGACCATGGAAAAGCCTACAATTTGCTCATCAGGATAATAATACCTGTTAGAAAATAACATGGTCAGACTTCAAGAACAGTGAAGTTTTTTTCCGCTTTACCCCACACCTAGAGTCGGCAGACTTTTTCCAGAAAGAGCCAAATAACTATTGTAGAATTTGCAGGCCACAGGATCTCTGCTGCAGCTAGTCAACCCTGCCTTCACAGTAGGAAAGCAGCCATTGACAACACGCAGGTGAAGAGATGTGCTTTGTTCCAATAAAGCTTTATTGACAAAAACAGGTAGCAGACTGAATTTGGCCCATGAGCTATATCTGCACATCCCTGCCCTCCACCTTGGGGTGAATGAAACACCAGAGGCAGACAGAGGGCCGTACCTAAAATCTTCCCCAGAGTGAAGAATGATATTGCCATGTTTTGTTGAGAGCAATTATCCTGAAACTTTCAGATATCTCTTTAAGGTACTTTTTGAAATCAGAGTTTCAGTTTTGTAAGTTATCATCACCATCTTCATCTTCATCAACAACATTTTGTACCTGAGAAGTAGTATCAAGAGAGGCATAAAAGATCCTGTTTCTTTATCTACCTCTTGACCACACTCTTTCTGGGAAAGAGCTCTGATTATTGTTAAAGAATATATCAATCATACTCGTGATGAAAGGTCACTAACATTTTTTAACAAATTGGTCCTCTGAGCAAGATGAATTTTAATAGATTGGTTTATTAACCTAAAGGTTGAACTAGACTGAGAGTAACTGAGTGATTTGTTCATAATTAGTTTTATTTATAATTATTTTACTTGGGGAAAAAATATCACCTTAAATGTCAGGATGTTTTTTAATTGCTTCAGATGAGATTCAAAATAATTGACTTTGCAAATGTATTTTTAAAAATTCATTTAAAAATATCTGAAGCTGTGTCAAGAGTCTGTCTGGAAGAGGTGAGATATCGATATTCATTACTAGGAACAAGGCAGAAATTGATCCATGATTTTTTGGGCCACATGAATTGTATATTGTAGTCACTTCTGGACTTTAAAGTAGCTGAAATGCTGATAGTGTGATGTGTCCATTCCTCTTCCCCATTGAATCTAAGTACACATTGTGTACCTGTACATGTGATTTAGCTGGGATACCTACTTTTTGAACGCGAGTAGGTATATGACTTATATTTAACATCTCTATGAATATTCATCCAATGGGTGGGAAAGCAGGAAACTGCATTAACAACTTGGGAAAAACGGCTTTTCAAATAATTATGATTGTGAAATAGTCACCATCATCACCAACTATTCACTATAAATCACCAGTAAGAAACATGCAGTAGAAAAACCATAATGCTATTTGGTAATGACAGAACACTATAGAACTGCAAACTTTGGTAACGCGCCGGTCTAATCTCATGTACACATCTACATTTGGATGCAGAGAGGGAGGGTAGTAACCCTTTCATCTGAAGGATGAGGAAGAGAAGGTCTGTGGAATCAAGGGATTTGCCCACAGTCTGCACAGCCTGCCCCGTATGCCACACCGCTTCTAGAACCTGAGCGAGAGGGTGAAGGTGTCCACAGGTACCAAAGCCAGCTTCAGCCTTATAGGTCAGCTGAACCAGCTTGACCCAGAATATAGAACCCAGTTTCCCATCTAAGACATTTCAATGAATAAGTAATAAGTGGTCTGGAAAGAACATTCCAGGCAGGGAATATGGGGATGCGATTATAAACACAGCCTCTCATTTGCTTCTTCCCAGTACATTCAGTCTGGTCATGTGCCTGAGACATGGTGCTCGGGCAGCTCGGGGTCCAGGACACAGACAAATCACTCCTCCAGGTGGCCAGCCAGACACCATCCATCACTATCTACTTGTTTGAGAAATAGAAAAATGTAGCCGAAACTGGAGAAAAGAACACTTGAAGGTGGCTAAAGGGAAGAAACAAAGTTTCCCACTTCACCAAACAGGTTACTCTACAAAGTGCTGAGGAAATAGGGAATCATGTATTTCTTTCAATTATCCCACAAATGGAAGATACACACACACACACATACACACACACACACACACACACACGTTCCTCCAAAGCTCTGTAGGAAAATATCCTGCTGAGAGTAGGAAGGGTATATTAACTGATTAATTATTATTAATGCCATCTTTTATTTAGCTAGTAATTATAATCTATTAAGAGCATTTATTCACATTATCTTACTTATTCAATCCTCTAAAAAATCCTATAAAGCTCATCAGTAATATATCATTATCTCCCTTTTATAGACAAAAGAAAAGAAGACACGGACGTTTCCTTGCGTAAGCTCATCTTTCTGTGTGGCAGAATGACTTCTTTCTCCTAGTCCAGGACAGAGAGCGGCTGTGGGAGAAGGGAAGGGAGAAGGGGAAAGTCCGACACATGAGTTGAGGGCAGAGAGACCCTGAACACGCCATCAGACCAGAATTCCTCCTAGTTGAGGCCAAAAGTCCGGAGTAGGTGTGGCCATATGACACACCACCAGAATGATTAGGTCGACTTTCAGGCACACCTACTCACTTGGAATTTTCTTGTGCAACTGAGCATTCTCTCTCAAACTGCAGGCCTCTGAAGTCCTGCGAAGTTTCTGGGGCGGCTGAGTTGGAACCAACTTCAAACCAGTTGGAATCTCTGATTCACTTCACAAGCCCTCCCTCCCTGGCTCCGCGGTCAGTCTTCTGCATCACATCCTACAAGCATTTGTTCCTTTTTTACTCCTTTTGGGGCTCCACCCTCGCCTCTCCGCCAACCTTCCAACTCCTCTCTGCACGGCCTTCCCCTTCAATGATCTCTCCTGACCACCCGTGTCAGCCCCGTCCCTCCCCCGGCCACCAGGGCCCCGGGAACCTACCTGGGCTCTCCAGCCACAGGCCCCTCCGGGCTGCCCCGCAGGCTGCTGGGTTCTGATGCTGCCTGCGTCCAGGCAGGGCCTGTGAGCCCTGAGAGTCTTCAAGCTCCTTGTCACTGCTCCTCCTTAGTGGATAATGCTAGGTAAACAACAACAAGCAATAAAAGGTGGCATCAGCTGTGACTCTCTGCTGGAGTCTCCGGAAGTGTTATCTCAGACCCCAACATTGCAACAAAGAAATCTCACAGTTGGGTGCGTGAAAATCGGTCAGAGGACAGGAGGAGAAAACTTGAGCGCTTCCCAAATTCCACTGCCCTCCGGGAGCTCCCCCTTGTGGGAGACGTGGGGCATGGCAGGGCAGGACCCAGCTGGGACGGCGCCTCCGCGGGAGGGCGGCCAGAGAGCAGAGCACAAACACCCAGGGGGGTGTGGCCCAAAAGGGGCGGCGTCCTGCTCCCACGCCTAAGGGCCTTTCTGTGAGTTGCAACATTGAGACCCTCCGTAATTACTCAGGGAAATACTTTGGGGAGTCTGGAGGTCTCTGAGTCCAGGTGAGTATGGCATGAATCACGAGCTTGCCCAGCTTATGTTCTGTATGGGCGGTGGTGACTGGCAACCATTTGCCTCTGCTTTGGATTCAATTCCCTCACCGGCACAAATGCATCATAAAGTCGGACATTCAGAGCTGTTCTGGGGAGACAGGCGTGGTCTCCACCGTCTGAGGAAAGGGTGATGGTCCAGCCTCCTGGACCCTTGCCAGCACGGGCACGTGGCCCCACTCTACTGCTCCCTACCCTGATGGAAACGGACTGTGTGCCCAAATAGTATCTTCTGCTAGAGAGATAGAACCTCATTCATTCCCACCTACCTGGCAGGCAGGTAGGAAACCAAACAGATGGCTCTTTCTGCAAACAGAATCAAATGCTCATGCAACCAAGTAAGGCGTCCAATGCCTTAGAAAAGCTGTCAGTGGCACCAAGGGCCCAGGCCTCCTGATTTCCACCTGCCACGTGTGTCTAGACTATGCTCTGCCTCCAGACGCATGTGTCTAGACTATGCTCTGCCTCCAGAGAGAAGGGGAAATGAGGCGCACTGACCTTCCCTGGTGGAAGGCAATGAGCTGCACCATTAAAGAGTATTGACTGACTTCCTACCCATAAGGACAGTGCGCTGGGTGTGACACCGATAGAGAGACCCAGTCTGAGCCTGCAGGAGAGAATTCATCATTATGTCCAATTCAAGGGAAATAACCAGTGGGCCCCACTGGGATGCTCTCTATTAATCAGAACTGGCAGTGGGGCCTGAATGAGGAAACTTTGCAGTGAATGAGGAAACACAGCACAACAGTGCTGTGGCCAGAGCTCACCAGAGCTGTGACACGTGATCTCATTTCACCATCACACCAGTGTGGAGATCTTGATTGTCAAGTCCGTTTAACTCCATTTTATAGATGAAGAAACTGAGGTCAGAATGTTTAATGGGCCATAAACAAAGTGGCAGAGACTTAGATCCATTTAAGTCTATATACAGTGCTTCCCATCATATTGCATTGTCTCAGTGACCCCTCTAGTCATCCTGGTAATGGAAATCTGGCCAGGGGGTCAACATAAAAAAGCTTGGATTAATTTCAGCAAGCTGAAGCTCGAGCCAGTTCCCACTAATCTCAATTCGATTGCAGTAGCTCCTTGATGTGAATGGCAGCTCTGTGCTGAACTGTACAGGAAGATCACGCTTGGAGTAAAGTCATGAAACTTCATTGATTAAAAACCAGAGCTTCAAAAAAAAAACAAAACAAAACCATAGCTTCTTCACAGGCTCTTCCCCCATAAGCAACATAGATGCTACAGGAATAAAGACAAAATAAACAAACAAGCAAAAAACACCCTGGACAAGAGGAGTTCTGCACCACTAAAATGGTGATGATGACGATGAAGGTAAGTCAGTTGATGATGTGATTACTGACCATTGACTCGATGAATCCTCCTGGACCTTATTGGGTTCTGAGATGAATATGAAAAAGGCAACCTCCCCAGAAGACACTTAAACTCTGTTATAAACTCAAGTTAAATGAAAAACAGCAAGAAGGATTTGGGGCATTCAAGGAAAGCTACAAAGACAAAAAGATTTCCTCTCACGCAAATAGATCTAAAACCGAGGCCCCTCCGTGCCGGGACTTCTGTGAAGAATGGAATATAAGTCCAGAAATACTTTTTGATGAGAAATATCAGGGGGTCCAGAGCATGTGAAGGACACTGGGTCAGCAGTTGAAGAACAGGAAAATGAATGGGGTGGGGAGGAGAGCTGTGTTCCCCTTTGGGCTGGTCAGAGCATCCCAGTCAGCAGTGGACCCCACACCTGGCAAAATGGACATGGAGCAAAGCATAGAAAGCACTAGAAACTGCAGCAGGAATAATTTGGAAAATGAAATGTTTTGGCAGATGAAGATAGGACTCTACAAGGGAAATAATCACTGTCTTCATAGAGCCAAAGGTCTTTCAGGTAGGAAAGGGATGGATTTGTTCTGCCAAGATCCAGGAAAGAGAATAGAACCCATGGGGATTCCACCAGCTCTGAGAGTCTTTGGGTCTATGGACAGCCAAGGTCCAGGAGTAGAAACTGCTCAAAAGAAACACATGAAATCCTCACACAGAGCATTCACCTCCTGTGGAGGCATCTCGTGGTCCAGAACGCACAATGATTCCCTAAGTTCAAAGGGTGCTTGCTGCCCTCTCGCTTTCCCCCAAATAGAATTACTTATTTTACTCTCTCAGGTAATTCCAATATTTCAGCACTTCCTGAGTGGGGCAAATGCCCTTTAGTTGAGCGGAAAACACAGGAACAGGCAAAACGCCCACTTTCTGATAAGTATAAGGAGAATCTCAGCTTTTGATAGAGATGTTTAGACGACACCTTGTCCAACACCCCCACCCCTCATGTCTGAATTCCTTCCGTATCTTCCCCAGTTGAGTACTGCTTGATCTCTGTTTGAACACTGCCTTCAAAGCTAATTTCATCGTAGGCCTTTCTTTGTGGGAAATAAGCAAAATACACACACACACAACACATCAGCAAGACATGGAAACAGAGGAAAAGAAACATGGTGTTTTTTTAGTATCACTATGTCAGAATATAAAGACAGAACCTAATATGAATCTAAATATGAATCTAAATCTGCCAAGCATCGACTGAACACCTCTTATATGCTCAGATATGCCATAGAAATATATACCAACATATTAGTTTAAAAAACCATGCTACAAAATGTCCCATAATAATCTAAATCACTATCACTCAGTTAACAGTCATTGGATGAGCAACTGCTGCAGGCCAAGGACTACGGTAAATTCTGGGCATGTAACTGGAACCACGGGCCTGACTTCATGGAGGTTACAAAAAATAAGGAGGGAGGAGAGGGCAGCCAAGTGTGAAACCCACTGCAAAGAATTAAGAAGATGCTGCAGAAAAAAATTACAGACACAAAATTGGGTTCCTAGTGTCTTGCCTGAGAGTTTCAGCCCTGGGCAAGTTCATTACGGATTCAGTAGATGGAGAAATGACAACAGAACATTCTAGGGGTAAAAGGGTTTATACCCAGCTTTCTCCTGGCAGTGGGTTGGGCACTAGAATCACATCTGCATCCAGCAGTCTGCAGGTCTGTAGTCCACCTCCGTCTCTGCCTCCACCCAGAACCCTGGGCAGAGCTGTTTATACAGTGACTCAGTCAATAACAGCTTATTGTTAATGGCTGTGGAAGCAGTAGCCTAGCAGCAGGCCAGTTACAGCTCAAGTAGTTTAGGGTTAGGTGAGGATCCTGGCCATAGGACCTTCCATTTTCTCCATACCTAGTTTTTACCTTTTTAATAGAAAAGAATATGAGAAGCCATAGAGAGTCAGTCATCCGTGAAGAGGGTTCTTCCTGGCCTGAGAGGCTATCTGCAGTCAACTCCCCAGGGTCTAGAGGAAGGTGGTAGACACTGAGCCTAGCCGAGAACAACTGGGGACAACTGGTGTGGAGGCAGCCTGGGTACAGGGACTGGTTTTACTCCTCAGGGAAGCAGGAGGCCTTCCACCCAAGTTCCTTCCCTCAAGACCCCACTCTGGGGTGACCAGTTCAGCTAATGTGGCCTCCACCCTTGGCCAAGTGAAAAAATTGTCCCTACCAAGCTTCTCTGATTTCCCAAATTTTCTGTCCGCCTTGCTTTTCTACTTGGGTTCACAGATGAGCCCAGCTCCTCTCATCCACCCTAAATGCCTGTTTCGGGGAATCATTTGCATTTTCCTTGGCACAGGTACAGCTTGCTGAATTCTTTCAGGCCACGCCAATTACAACAAGCCCTAAAACTGCTGAGCCAAGTGGTTTCTTCAGGGATCTGCTTACATTCCCTCCTTGGAAAGAGCAGGGGGCCCACTTTGTACAGTCTCTGCACACAAGAAGCGCACGTTCCACTGTTCAGGGGGAGTAGGCAGAGCGTGCTTTCCCCAAGAGGGGACGAGGTGCAACCCATTCTCACTCTGGTTTTATGTTGCTTGATTGGGTTTCTTACCATTTAGGAGGATGGACAAGATGGCTCAGAGTCAGCTACCTTGAAGACTGTCTTGAGAAAGGGTTAGAGAAGCTTTTAAGTGCAAGCCTCATGGGATCACAAGCTGGGAGAAGAACTTTTATGTGTCAATACCCTCTCTCAATATGGCAATTATATTCTTGTCAATTCTGGCTGAGGGAGAAAGATGGAGCCAGTATATATATGACCTTTTTTTTTTTTTTAATCATCATGAAGGGATATTTGGGCAGAAAGAATCTGATTCCACAAAGGATTACTCCAAAGTTTGGTTCTCTTCTGATTTGGAAATTGTTATACAGTGATTTTTCAATAATCTATCTTCCAGTTCATTTTCTATTATGACAGTATTGGAATGCCTAATGTGCCCAAGGTATCCCTAGCCGAGGAGAAGACATGGAGGAAAATCTTAATGGGGGCATGTCAAGGGTGGCACAGCCAGTTTGGAATGAAAAATTACCATGAATAATTCATAAAACATGTTAATCCATGTGCAGATCATTGAGAACTGACTGCCTCTGAGAGGTGCCTGCAAGATCAGTCAAACAGCCTTCCAGCAACAATAAAATGATCAAGGAAG